CTCAGGAGCTCTCTGAATTCATGATTTGGTCTGCCCAGAAGATAGATCCTCAGGGGCCGCTCATCAGCTTCAGATAAAAAGAAACTTAAGTTCCAAACTCTACTTGAGTTCCAGTCTTCCCTAAGCAAACTGGTGATAAAAAAACAAAACTGACCTATCGCCACAAAACCTTAGCTGAGTTGTAAGCAGACTGGTCCTCTTTTAAGCAGCTTCTGCTGGATGACACAGTCAAAAATATGAAGATGTCCAAGAGAGTCTTCTTTGAAAAAGCTAACTGCATGGAGAAATTTCTGACCAGGTCCATTAACCCCACGACTAAGAAACGCATCACTTTAGTTATAGACACAAATGATACAGTGGCCTGCACACCTTCAATGCAGCATTAACACAATACTTCAGCTCCTTGTATGACCACTCCCCAAACCACATAGGGGCTGACCCTATACATGCCTCTAACTTGTCAAGAGATGTGTTTTTTATCTCTTGACATCCCCTAATTGACAACAGAGCATCTTTCGGCATTATGGGAGGACATAACTCAGGACAAAGTATTGTCGGCTATATTACCCCTTAAGAGGAATAAGACTCCTGGAGCTAATGGTTTCTGTGGGGGTATTATAAAATCCTCAGGGAGGTTTTGGCTCCTTGTCTTGTGAAGCTATTTAACACAGTGAAGGGGTGCTCTTTGCTCCGAATCTACCCTTACTGATGTGATCTTACTGCTCAAGGAGAGGAGGGATTGCATGAACCTCGGCAATTATAGGCCAATATCCCTTATCGATTTTAACATTAAGGTCCTTGCAAAAATATTGGATGAATGCCTAAATCTACACACGAAAAGATGTTGACCTCCTGTGGTGGGTGACTGAGACTCAAGTGCCTTCTCTGGTCCTTTCCCTGGACACAGAGAAGACCTTCGACAGGATTGAGTGGTCTTACCTTTTTGATCTTTTAGACCATTAGGGCTTCACTAAGGAATTCAAACACCCGAAACTGGCACTCTATATGAGTCCCAGAGCTTGAAGGAATTGAAACACCTAATCTGTTTATATTGTATAAGTTGAATTATTTTGTAAATCTAGTAGCAAGCTCTTTTGCAGAACCGCTTACAAAACATAACTGAAAGGAAGTCACAAGCTATGACAGTTTCTATGTATCAGGATGCGCTTAACCACAATGTATATGTAATATTTTGTAAGAATAGATTATTGAACGTAACAGCAGAAACTACTTCCTCTTTTATGTATCTTGTGTAACTTTCTGTAACCAATGTTCATGACAAATATTGTATAAGTACAGAGCATTTTGAATACATTGTCAGAAGACTTTTGGAAAGCAATTTTGTGTCTGTCTCGTTATTCTGCTTCCATAATTCTTCCCTGAGCTCAGGTGACAATCGAGGGTTGGAGAACCGTGACCAGAAGGTATCGAGTCATCAGTTTAGCCTTTCAGCTTGGTGTCAGAAAGTGGGATCTAGGGATCTAGCTGACCATTGGTGGTAAGTAGTAATTCTCTGTGTCTTTTTAGACGCCTTGAATCTATGACCCCCATGGTTTTGTAAGTCTAGATCATTTTAGGAAAGGTTATAGTTATATATGTATTTTATATGACTCAGTCTCTATAAGATCCCGTGAATTTAGTCTAGTAAGAGAACTAGACAGAGATATATGTATTTCTAGTAAGTGAACTAGATAAGGTCTAATAAGAGAATTAGACAGATAAAAAGGAAGTCTATAAAGTGATATAGACAGAGAATTTAGTATATAAGTGAATATACTATGATAGTGTGCACAGAGTTTCAGGCTCACCTTGTCCACCCTCTAATTGTCATTAGTTAAGTCTGGTGGTGATTGTGAGTGTGAATAAGTGTTTGAAAGAATAGTCCTAGGAATGGGATTAATTGTATAGAACACCAATCAGCACATCTTCCCTGCCCTGTGTGTTTGTTGCAAAGGATCCATACTGTAAATATAATTTTTGTTTGTAAATAAGAGAGCAACATTTACATTTTCAGCGGTCCAACACATGCTTCATTTTGTGCTGTAAGCTAACCTTTTTATTGCTACAGATGCTTTAAATGATCCAGTGTAACACCTACTGCATATGTTTTGTGTCTTCTATGTCTCACATGATATGTGTTCTTTTAAATTGTGGTATATAGCCTGGATCAGAGATCATGGAGAAAGGTTTCTACCTGTGTTACTAAGGCTCTTGGAGACTGACCGGTCTAAGGTTTGCCATGCCTTTTAACATGGTATAGTATACATTTTTTAAGTTTCTGAGAGTTCTGAAAGATTCGGGTGAAACCATGTCTGTTTAATCTGGTCCAGATGTTTGCTCAATTTCTATAAGATTTAAGTTGATGCAGTATCATCTCAGATTAGTTAATGGAAGTTTCATACAAATATTTGAGTTATGAGCACGCTATATAAATGGATCCTTTCTTTATATACAATACTATAGTAGATTAAAGTAATGAAGTTAATGAAGAAAAACATCTATACATAAGAATCCCTAAAAAAAATCTAATACAAACTAAAATTGGTATACCTTACAATAATATGTTCTGAGTACAGCTGTTAACTGTTTATTCTGTGTAAATGGTGACTGTGATAATGTGTGAAGTGTGCAGCTTAACTGGAAAGTGGATTAATTTATATGTTGTTGTGTTGTTTAAAATTATATATGAATCAGTTTGTCTCAGTCTAGTGATACTGATAAGAATGCCAGCCAAGTAACCTATCAAATAACTATTTTATTAGCTGTTGAATACTAGTGTTTTGGCCTAGAGTAGTTGGAGTTGGAGTAGTTCTATCAGTTCAGAGAGGGTCTGTGTTGTGATCTGAAATAGCTACATGGGAATGGAGATTTGGAGGTGTTAGTTTAAGACTGCTTTCATATTGTGTCTACCTAGGAGGGACACAGAGTGTGTAGTTGCATGCCCATGAATGTGTTTTCTGTATTGGCATATCTGCTGGGTATCCATTATGTGTTTATACTACGTCTGTTTTGTGAGATGATGACGTGTAATATTACATTGGATGCTGAGTATGAGTTATATGGTTTGAAATGAATTGGTGTGTTATGTGTTTTATGTATTTTATTGTCCATTGTGTAGGAGTTTAACTAGCAGAGTGATTTGCATATCATTAACGCAAGCATTTAGTGTTTTTACAAAAGGTGAAATGCTGTCAAGCCGGCTAGAATGAAACAATTGTATGCTATCGCTCCTGGAGCAAGAAAAGCGCTTGTTACATCCCACGTGAAAGGGGCCCGGCAAACTTCTGCTGTTCAAATCGTGGATCCACATTTCCATTTGCAAATTGATTAATCCTGAAAGTCATTCTTTTACTAATAAAAAGGATTGAATGGACAAGATGTCTCTCCCTCATAAAGGAGTTCTAATAGGGGATTATTGTCCAGCTCAGAGTTAACTCTACTTTTAATGTATATTGCATTGTTTATGTCAAAGTAAGATTCATCTAGTATGCCTAATTGATTATGGGGTAATAATAACATGGTATTTTTAATAGAGATTAGACAATTTCTGAAATTTATAAGTGAGGTAATTTTAATCTCCTAAACTACTGTATTATATTTGTATGGGTAAATTGAAAGCATTTTGCAGATCCAGAAGAGGATTAATAAATGATATAATACTCTCACTAGGTGCCAAATTATGCAGAGAGGCTATCCAAAGTATGCACTAACGGGTTAAACTTGTTTTCTTGATAAGCGTATAACATTTAGTTTTGTGGTTAGACTTTTGATACTCAATTTGAAATATGTCCCAACTACATCCTTGCACGGCACCAGGTACAGGAAGCAATATGCTTTTTAAAAATTTGCAAGGTCTTAGTGTTTTCAATATATTATAACAATTGAAAAGTACCTAACCGCATATCTGCATTACGTTCATGACACAGACTGTCAGTATTACAAGCCCTATATGAAGGCACTAACTATCCATTAAACCTTTAAAAGCTTATTAATATGATATCTGTATGGTACACAAAGAGGGGGTGTGAGTTAGGTAATCCCGACCTGCATATGGAATATGCTTCCTCCTTGTTCACTTTTGTTCCTTGTTGGTCTGTGACTGGCCCTTTTTGACCCCAAATGAATTTCTTGGGAAGATTCATGAGAAAGATACAGCAAGTTGTTTTGATAGAAAGAAAGAAGGAAAAGGTATGTTGTATCAGTCACAAGGATTGTGATCCTAAGCAGCCGAGACAAAGAAAATTGGGAGGTGATAGGAGATTGAATCAGAAAAGTTTTAAAGGACCACTCTAGACACCCAGACCACTTCAGCTTAATGAAGTGGTCTGGGTGCCAGGTCCAGCTAGGGTTAACCCATTTGTTTATAAACATAGCAGTTTCAGAGAAACTGCTATGTTTATCAATGGGTTAAGCCTTCCCCCAAAGCCTCTAGTGGCTGTCTCATTGACAGCTGCTAGAGGTGCTTGCGTGATTCTCACTGTGAAAATCACAGTGAGAGCATGCAAGCATCCATAGGAAAGCATTGATAATGCTTTCCTATGCGACCGGCTGAATGCGTGCGCAGCTCTTGCCGCGCGTGCGCATTCAGCTGACGGGGAGGAACGGAGGAGGATCGGAGGCAGAGAGTTCCCCACCCAGCGCTGGAAAAAGGTAAGTTTTACCCCTTTTCCCCTTTCCAGAGCCGGGCGGGAGGGGGTCCCTGAGGGTGGGGGCACCCTCAGGGCACTATCGTGCCAGGAAACCGAGTATGTTTTCCTGGCAGTATAGTGGTCCTTTAAAGGCAGAGGTAGAGGATTTGGTCAAAGGGTTTAACTTTTGTAGACGTAGAACTTTCACACTGTTCTAATTGTGGATAGCAGGGTCACTGGAAAAATGAGTGCCCAAACCCACCCCCACAGATTCCTCAATACCAACCACAGCTTCCAACCTATACCCACACCCAACAACCCCAGCCTAAAACACAGATGGTTCATGTTTTTAATATTTTATATAGTTTTAGGTGTTAATCCAAGAGTATTGAATTATTCTGGATTATTAAAGTAATTAATTTTGAGTATCAAATCAAGGTTCAAGTTTAGGAACAGAGTTTTATTGGGAATTATCCCCATATGTATATGTTAATGTTTTAATATTCATCCTAACAAGCATTTCTATAGAGTGAGTGCTTCTCTCATCCGTACAAAGGCATTCCAAAGGGGTATTATGTAAAACTTCATAGAAGACAGATTGCATAAAATATAAGCAAATATAAGAGAAGTACATGTTACACAAATTAAGGGTTTAACCTTAATCTCTAATTTAAGTTTAAGCCTAGGTAATTAATTAATTGATGTTGTATTGATCCTTGTGTTTGTATGATTGTAGAGATCGTCCTGGAGTGTTTGTGCCGCCTGATTTCTGGGACAACGCACCAATCCCTCTGGCTGACCATGCAATAAGTATTTTGCAATTACATCTGTTTGGTCATTATCCATGCAGGACTAGGACACTGAGATACTTATTTATGAGGACATAAACTTTGCACGCAAGAACCTGGAAAGTCTTAAAGGTGCAGTGCTGTATAATACCGCTGGTTCTGTAATAACCCTTTCAACCATTGGGTGTTGCACAGAGCATTGTGGTGAAAATCCAGCAAACAAAAGAAGAACTATGTGGAAGCTGACATTGTCTTGTTGTCAGCCATGTTACTACCCTTGTCTGGTGTCTAAACTGATTTTCTTTATACTCTGTGAAAGACTTATTCTATTTTTCTGAACTATGCTGAACTATTGAACTATTTTTATTTTTATTTTTGTAGAGTTAGCCGGAGAGAGAGGAAGTGTTAGCTGACCCAGGGATGGATGTACTATGTGTATTTTTGATATATGTTGAGTGTGCCAAGGATGGATTCCCATGTTTTGAGGAACTGCGTGAGGATATGACTGGTTTTGACTGGACCTTTGGAATAGGGAAATGGTTAAAAGATATAGGACGCAAGGTCCTGGTTGTGATTATTGTTAGAATTTCAAGCTAGACTGTAATTTATCTCATGAATTAATATGTAAGAAGTGTTTCCCAATTCCTCCCGATACCCGAGCTATGTACTCACAGGTGCGGGTATTATAAGTCATAAGTGGTGTCAACTGTGAGGGGATGACATGTCTAACACGATCGCGGCCCCCACTCAGGTTTTCCCCAGATGTGCTTTTTCCTCAAATATGAGTTTTTGACACTGGGCTTTTGCCTGGCCCCAGATCATCGGGTGGACTGGTAATCCTAGACCCCGGTCCTTAGACGGGGGATAGGTATTATTCCCACTTTGACTATATGCGCCCACTTCCATGAGCGAAGGAGGAAAACAACTGTTGGGAAAAATATACTTTGCCCATATTTACCTAGGGCTTATGATACAGATGACCAGCTGGTTAGTCTGTTTAAAATTGGTTAACATGTCAGCTATTTGCAATAATATATTTGCTATAAGCCCAAGTTCCATTTTGTCTTAAACATCCATTTTCTATTTATCTGTCTGCAAAAGTATTAAGTGTCTTTTTTCCTGCTGAGTTTCTGTTTCTTGTAAACCACATGATTGCTTGGGAATGCCAAAATGTGGAAATTTCTCTTTCCTGGGAGAATGTTAATCAATAATATGAGCACGTTTTTGCTCAAAGAGGGGAAATGAAGGAATTGAAACAGTTAATCTGTTAGTATTGTATAAGTTGAATTATTTTGTAAATGTAGTAGCAAGCTCTTTTGCAGAACATAACTGAAAGGAAGTCACAAGCTATGACAGTTTCAATGTATCAGGATGCGCTTAACCACAATGTATATGTGATATTTTGTAAGAATAGATTATTGAACGTAACAGCAGAAACTACTTCCTCTTTTATGTATCTTGTGTAACTTTCTGTAACCAATGTTCATGACAAATATTGTATAAGTACAGAGCATTTTGAATACATTGTCAGAAGACTTTTGGAAAGCAATCTTGTGTCTGTCTCGTTATTCTGCTTCCATAATTCTTCCATGAGCTCAGGTGACAATCGAGGGTTAGAGAACCGTGACCAGAAGGAATCAAGTCATCAGTTTATCCTTTCAGAGCTCGGGCGCATCTCCAGGAGTCCCATCTGATACATTTTCCCTTACTCAATGGAGTGAGAAAGGACTGTCTAATTTTCACTTTACTGTTCATGCTACCAATTAGAAACACTTCATCTCATCCACACCCATCCTCACATTGCTGATAAGAACAAAAGAAAAGAACGAGAGAAAATCTGTTCCCACTATCAATTTCAAGTACACACAAACAGTTAAAAATCTAGAAGATACTTTATTAATTAATCAAGGATACCAGTATAGAAAATAATAACCCCGGCAGTGACTGTCTGACTAAACGAAAGTCAATTTCGGCAGTCCAAGTAAGGAGTACAAAAAATAAAAATTAAGAAAAAATAAAGAATTACACAAACAAATAAAATGATAAGCTGAGTATCTAACTGTCGCCGTAGTGATATCTAGAGTAGAATTAGTGCATCAAAGGTATTGCAACTATGTAGCCTAACTAGGCTTGTAAAAAAGATCCCACTAAATTAACTTGTGCAGTATCATAAGATACAATTGTATCAATATGTCAAAGATAAATGAAATACAGTACAAAGTATCTGCACAGTACAAGTGAAAGGAGTTCTTCTACAGTCAATGTAAACTCAGCCTATGATCGTAATAGCAAATGAATGTGCTCTGTTATGATCTCTTCAATGGTTCTTTTATAAATATTTGCTTAAGTAGTGCTAAATATGAGCCATATCAACATCAGATGCCTCAATCCGTATTGAAACAGTAATATGAAAATCAGCTCAATCGTAAAAGTTGAGATGCAGCGTTTTTCAATGTATGCCTTATAATCTTAGTCTATAATCTAAATAGTAGTAATCAAGTGTAAATCAGAATAGTAAAAGATCAAAAGGCTAGAATAGTGCATTCAAGGGCACCAGGTACAGGCAAGTCAGTAAAGAAACAAAGAGTCCTGATGCTGTTCTATAGCGAACCGAAGCGGTTGTAAATAAAGAGATGCTACAAATTATAATACAAATTGCTAAAGATACCCTGATCGGTATAGACGTCTATTGTGTCCCAAACGGCTGTCCGCCGTCTAAGTCCCGAAGATGCCCGAGTGGCTATATAATCAAGTCCGTGGTAAATGTCTGCTCACAAGGCAAAGGTGCCAGGAGACACAAAAGACAAGACTTTATTGTAACAGAATATCGCACAATATATATATATAGCCACTCAGGCGGCGGACAGACGTTTGGGGCACTGTGGCAAAACTACCCACTGGAGACTATCAATGTATGAGTATGTTTGTATTCTTGCTAAAGCTGTAGAGACAAGTGTAGGATTGTAATTGCATTTCAGGCGAATAAGGGCATTCGTATGCTGGCGGCATGAAAACCCCAGCATTCAAACTGTAGTTTCACAAACAGTGAATTTCAACACTGTTCGTGAAACAAATAACCTACTGAATGGACGACCACACACAGGAGGTCGTGTGGTGCCCATTAACCGATTGCAACATTGTTGCAATCGGTAGTTAAGTGTGTTCCTAGGTGGCCGTCGTTTGTTCCTTTGTTAGCCCAGCGGGGTTTGGTCGTCGAGCGCCTGGAACCAAAATCGGCTACTCGACGGTGCGAACCCCGCTGGACTTCCAGGCCGTTCGGGAGCCCAGGCTGTTCGGTAGGTTGTTCCCCTGATGTCAATCAGTACTTTGAGTAGAACTTGAATTTAATGTGTGTTTTGTGCGGCGTTCGGTTAGTTAGGCTGGGATCTGAGCGGTATTCTCTCGAACTGTGCGCTCAGACCCCAGCTATCTACCGAACGTCCATTCGCTTAAATGAAGGGAATATTATGGGAGATATGTATTTTAATGTGAAATTTAAGTTATGCTGCACGGAAGGATAATCCACTTAATGGTATATTCTCGTGGGAGTATCCATCTCGTGCAGCAGTGTATGGTGGGAAAAATTTATGTATTGTTCAGTTCCCCATGTAGTCCCCTACTGTGCCACCCCTGGAATGTCAGTAGGGAAACCCCTTGCATGGGGAATCCCATAAATACTGTTCCTGTAATTAAAACCTCAGTTGACCTCCAAGCTATGTGTCATCTAGTTCTTGGGAGGAAGGGATTGTAACTACGCTACCTGGATTTGTACCTGCTTTGTACCTGCTTGATTCTGTCTACCAGCGGAGATACCATGGATAATACTACTACTCCGCTACAGGCACAATAGACGTCTATACCGATCAGGGTATCTTTAGCAATTTGTATTATAATTTGTAGCATCTCTTTATTTACAACCGCTTCGGTTCACTATAGTACAGCATCAGGACTCTTTGTTTCTTTACTGACTTTCCTGTACCGGGTGCCCTTGAAGGCACTATTTTAGCCTTTTGATATTTTACTATTCTGATTTACACTTGATTACTACTATTTATTTTATAGATTATAAGGCATACATTGAAAAATGCTGCATCTCAACTTTTACGATTGAGCTGATTTGCATACTACTGTTTCAATACGGATTCAGGCATCTGATGCTGATATGGTTCATATTTAGCACTACTTAAGCAAATATTTATAAAAGAACCATTGCAGAGATCATAACAGAGCACATTCATTTGCTATTTCGATCATAGGCTGAGTTTATATTGACTGTAGAAGAACTCCTTTCACTTGTACTGTGCATATACTTTGTACTGTATTTCATTTATCTTTGACATATTGATACAATTGTATCTTATGATACTGCACGAGTTAATTTAGTGGGATCTTTTTTACAAGCCTAGTTAGGCTACATAGTTGCAATACCTTTGATGCACTAATTCTACTCTAGATACTTATGTATATCGCTACGGCGACGTTTAGATACTCAGCTTATCATTTTATTTGTTTGTGTAATTCTTTATTTTTTCTTACTTTTTATTTTTTGTACTCCTTACTTGGACTGCCGAAATTGACTTTCGTTTAGTCATACAGTCACTGCCGGGGTTATTATTTTCTATACTGGTATCCTTGATTAATTAATAAAGTATCTTCTAGATTTTTAACTGTTTGTGTGTACTTGATATTGATAGTGGGAACAGATTTTCTCTTGTTCTTTTCTTTTGTTCTTATTCTTTTAGGGTTACCCCCTTATCTGTTCTTATAGATTCCAAGATACCGATTTGCTGGCCAAATGTTTCACATTGCT